AGTCAATTTTACATAATTACCAATGACTTAGAACAACAATGTGTTTATGTTTGGTTTGGACCTGGGTCTGATGCCTGGGAAGGCACTTTTGTCTCCAGATCCTCTTAGTTTCCTGACCTGGTGAGAGTGATGAAGCATGAAGATGACGCTGCTAAGACTTAATGACATGGGAATGTGTAGGGTTTCAATATCAGCAGTGTGGAGAACTGAAGCAGAGAGAAGGACTTTTAAAAAGACGGTCATGTGACAAACAACAAATGACAGTGATGCATTATTGCTTTAAGTTTGCACAGCAATAAAAAAGTGTGGAGGTGAACTTTGAATCAAATTCATTATTAGGCAGAAAAAAAGTAATTCATAGATCACAGCTAATAATCTGGTCTTTAGTAATTTTGCTGAATAAACAGAGGGAGAATATTGCAAAAAAAGAGAGGGAAATATTTAAAAAAAATCAGGATGTTTGAAGAACACTGTCAGGAATTTTACATGGTGCAGTTTGCAGTTCATTTGTACAAGTCTACTCTGAATAACTTTAGCAACACCAATTTTCATTACCTCAAGAAAATCTGGAAAATGACTCAGAATCAAAACACCACAATTCTGAAACTAAAACCTGTTTAAATGAATGATTTAATTCAATTTGTTTATTTTTGTTTTATTTAAAATATAGACGGTAAAGTTCTCTGACCAACAGACCAACATCCTGCAACAGCGTATTTCTACGGCAGCCTGTATGGACAAAATATCCAGGCTCCAGACTAAACAACAACAAAACTTTTGTAACTCTGTAACTGATTCTTCTCATGTATTTGATCAACATCTAACTTCCAAATTTCAATGCCTTTGAACACTCACTGGTGTGAACCACACTACAACAATGGGCCACGATCCCCCTGCACGACTCTCTTTACTCCTCTCTTCCAGTCGACCTGCTCTGTCCATGCTACGTTGTCTCCCGCTCATTGCTGCATTGATCTTGACAGCCTTCTGACAGACACAAGTTCTATCAGAGCTTATCAGACTCCGACTGGCTGCTCGTCTGATCTGCTCTGACCTTGGAGTTGCCTGTCTCACTTGCAAACACCCCAGTGGTCACGCTACTTTGGTCTTAATCTGTTTATTCTTCCTTTTATGGTTCTTAGATTCACTACAAACTGCAGCCAGTCTCAGAACATCTCAGTCTGGTTGTTCTTTACAGACCAATGCAGACTATCTGGTAAACACCAATCAGAAGAGACTCTACTGTGAAAGAAATTTGATTTAAACAAAAATATTGACTTAATAGAGATGAAAAAAAAAAACGTTTTTTTGATATAGTATTTCTGGGCTTTGTACTTAATGTCTAAGGAATTACTGTCAGACTCATTATTATCAGCTCCAAAGAACACTGCATTCATGTAGCTTCTAACACTTAGTTCTTTCAGGTTCTTCCGTGTGACCTGGGGCCAATCCCAGCAGCCCAAAGGTGAGGACAGATGTCACCCTGGACAGTTGACTAGTTCATGACATGATTACAAAATAACAAAGCAGCCATTTACACCTATATTATTTACAGTGTCCCTTTTACAATTTTAGCAATTTCCAAAATGCGGATGAGCCCACCTGCAGGGGATTCGGGTATGTTGTAGGAGCCCCAGAAAAGCAAAGGACAAAGTGGTCAAAGTGGGAAAAAACTGTTTAAGATTTTTTTATTTTTTATTTTGTAAAAACAGTGGAAATGTGGAAATTGGGTTGAATTTTTGACGTAGTCGCGTGAAGCCAGACAATAGACCTACAGGTAATAACTTCTTGGCAAAAGGCGAAAGCACCAACAACTCTTACATACTGTGCTTTAGTAATCATAAAATCTAAAAACTAACCCACTTCCATTCTCTATTAGAATAGGATTTGAATTCTTAGATGTATTTCATTTCTAATTTCTATAACGCAATTGACCTGCAGTATATTAAATGTTTACTTCCCAGCATGAACACCTAGTTTTCATCATCATTAAATGACAGCGGCCTTTTTTTACTGTAATTTAAACTAACATTCCACCAAAAGTGCATCAAATCCGCCTCTAAAACATGTTTTTAAGTATATTTATTTTAAATGCACACTGACACAAAAGTTAATGAATTCTTAAATTTGTGCCATTTGTACAAGCCTTGTAAAAGAAGTGAATTTTCAGCCTTTAAACGCTGCTGATACAATCTGTGTTTTTGTCCTTCCTGTTTGCAGCTGCTGAATAACGCAGCGATCACCTGATAAATTATGGTCATTTTCACAATGTCTCCAAATTAATGAGGTAGCGCCATTATTAATGGATAACCCCGTAGCTCACTGCTCAGTTCACCACCCAACAGGAAGGACACAGGTTTCTACAAAAAAATCTAACCTTTGGTGGTATGTTAATTCTAGATGAGTGTGTTTACACCTGCAGGTCAAGAAGGTTAATGCTGGACAAAACCCATAGGGAATAATGAGGTGAATATATTAACACATACAGTCAATGCAACCCAGAGCATGGACAGACATTGGATACATTTCACTGGATGATGCTTTCAGTGTCAGTTGTGCTGTCAGAGACAACATTTGGTCTTTAAATATTATTCTACTCACAGCTAACTGAATTTTAAACATTTATGATTGATTAAAATTGTCTTAAAAAAATTACAATAATCCGTTTTTTTTACATGTTGAGGCTCTTTAAATGGACCAAGAACTCATTTGTTTTGTTCAGTGTTGTTTTAAATGATCTTCTCCAAATGTTGTGATTAGAATGAGAATAATAAACCTTTCTATTGTCTTATCTTTACTAATTTTATCATGTAATTTCACATTGTAACCTATGTATTCTATTGTATCTCCTCTCCTTATACATATAATAGTATTCAAAAATCACAACCATTGACCTGAATGAAATAGAAAAGAAAAATGACATGATGATAAGTAAGATACAACAGAGGATGATGGTTTTAGGGGCAGATTTACCATCAGTGAAACAATTTGTATTTTAAAAAGAAAATTCTGATTTTAATGTGTTTATGAAGATAATCTTTGAGTGTTTCCTCTGGAAATTTCATTTTAATTGACTTAAAATAAAGGATTTATTAAGTCTTTTTTACATCTTTACTTGTCATTTTATCTTATCACTTTTATAATTTTATTTCACCGCATTCCATTGAATAGAATCACGTCATTTCCTATTGTACCTTAACTCAAATGATCTCATCTATCCTGATGTGCAGAATGATCTACAGATTCTTACCATTTCGTTAAGGATCGTGTTTGTTGGTTAAACTGTTTAACATTTTTCTACTGCATCATTCAAAGTACACCAGCTTTTTAGTGAAGCCTCTTTTTTTTGTCTTTTTTTCATCCACATCATTCTTTACTCTGCCTGGTTATATTTTTGACAACAATGTAAAGACAACTGACATTCCCCAAATAGCCACTGCGCATCCTAAAATCTGTGCTGTGTCTGACTAAGAAGATTTGTGATAAAAATTCACATCAGAATGTGAAGCCGACTGTGAATAACAAAGAACGGCTGACGATGAAAGACCGAGCGGGAGAGAGGGAAAGACAAACAACAGGTTGAGAATAGAAATTGTTTTACTGAAGGATGTCTTTGTGTGTGTGTATGTGTGTACGTGCGTGTGCGTATGAATGTGTGATGCATAATCACATATTACAGAGGTTTTGCTTATGCAGCACTCCTTTAATTCTTCAAAAACATGAAAAGGCCTGAAGAATAACTGGAATAAACTGGAGGTTTCTTTTCAACGCCCAAAAGAAAAGAATACTTTAAATTGTTTTGTTTGACCTGGAAAAAACAGAATGATGGAAAAATGAAACTAATTATACAATACTTCCTAATCAACAGGGGGAGCTGTTGCAGAGTTAGCCCCTGCTGACATCAGACACACCATGCAGACCTTATGTTCCAAATCCATCTGTCTGCACTGGGATACAAACCTGTAACTGTTTTACTGGAGGCAATTTAACCACTACACCAGCAGGGGGCATGTTGCTTTGTTCTAAAGCATCAAATTTCATCATTTTTTTCCATTAAGTCTGCCCTGTTTGTTTAATCTCTACAGGCACTATTAAAATAAAGAGACATGAACTCCTGCGACAGGCCGTTCTTGTGAATATTTTCGTTTCCACTGTCCCTTGTTAAGCTCAACTAATGCGGCTGCAGCGGAAGCTTCTTATGCAAATGTGGCATCATGAGATATCCGTCCCCATAACCTGAAACCATCTCAAGCAGTGAGTTAAATATATATTTTTCCAGAGTATAATTTGATGTGGCTACAAAGCCTTAATGTATTTCAGTCCTCCAAGCATGATCGATACAAATGTATACATTGTGGCACAAAGATGAAGGACTTCTCAGACCATGGAACAAAATAAAAAGTGTCAAAACAGCCCATGGCCCTGACTCTAAATACACTGAAACACAACGTGCTGTCAAACGTTAGAAAATACGGCCTGCAGGAAAATGACGTACAGTAGATAACCAGGGAATTTAATCAGTCACAAAATGTGCTGAGTTTGATTCAGGGCCCGAGGTCTTTATTAAAAAATGAGACTGAGTAAACTTAAACTTTTTCGACAGCGCGAGGCCGTGGGATCACTCTGTTTGCAGACAAATCCCACTGCAAGTCCAGGCTCGGCTTAATGAACACTGAATGTAAATTTGTATAAGTCAGTAAATGTGAAGTGGAAAGTCACAGGAGGAACAAAGAGGCACTGCGTTCAGTCATCTTTACCCACAGAGAACTTTCTTCCATCTTCTGAGCAGTATTATCATTTTAAAGAGCCCCACTGCCAGGCACTCTTTGACTTCAGTTGAGAATTACGAGGAGAAATGGAAAGGGAAAGGGAAGAAAAGCTGTTGGACAGAGGAGGGATACAGTGGAGGTGAGCGAAAAGACAAGTGACTGAGTGAGTACAGCAGCCTGCAGACAAACCTGGTGGCTGTAATAGTGTCTGCTGCTGGAGTGATAACTTACACAGAACCTCCAGTCTGTTGATCCACTGCCAGGCCTGGCCATTTGTCAGAGCTGACTTTAAATTCCCAGTGGCCATCACACTGGCCGTGTGCAGCTTCGTACAGCTGGATCACTCCTGGCAGGACCAATCATTACAGGCAACCCGGCTCCTGTTAATGGCCAGTTGGTGGTGAGGTAGCTGTGTCCACATCTGTGGAAAATGAGCAGAAATGTATGCAAAATATTGGAGTTTTTGTCCAAACATCTACTCACGCAAACGCTTCGAAAACACATTTCATTTGTACAGAATATTCTAGGTAATAATGGGAGTTCTTCATGGGGTTATTCTGAGTAATTTATGAGAGTTCTATCTTTTTTTTTATTCAAAGAGTGAAAATTTGTAATTCAAAACCATGTAGACTTGCCACATTTCTCTTTGAACTGCACTCCTTCACAGATGGAAGGAGATCTATTCGTGCTACACTTGAATGGCTCTATGTGTGAGTTTCAGTGAATTAGATTTGCAGTCCTAAGTGTGTGTGTGTGTGTGTGTGTGTGTGTGTGTGTGTGTGTGCGTGTGTGTGACCAGACACAGACTTCAGTTTTATGCAAAACAAGCCAGAATATATGTATCTATGGTGGGGCAGGAAAGTTTAGGTGGGCAGTGAAGAACAATTTAGTCTATTGTAATGACGAGGTAATAATCTTAGTTCCTCTTCTAATCATGGGCCATAAAGGATTATTTTCCAGGAGCCATTAAAATGTCAAGCTTCCTTCCACAGATCAGTCTGATTTCTTTAATTAAGCTGTCCAGAGGATAGTGATGGACCGTCCAGCCGACTGCCGTGCTGTATAAGTTCACTTTGTGCTCCGTCCATCAGGGTTTAGGAGATGCTGGTTGAAAGCCTTATTTATAGATGCTGTCAGTCTTAAACAACATTGGATGGTCATCTGAGTCCAGACGAAGCTGAACAGATGCACTAAGGCATCCATAAGATCAGTCACTGATCCTTAACTAAAGGTAATATGAGTCTGTAGAGACAATAAATAACAAATTATATTTAATGAAAACTCCTTAAATCCCATCATGTGGAGCTGCTTATTCCTGACTCAGCGAAATAAACCAATGGCAGACATGTTTTTATTGTCTTTGAGGCACCGGGGTTGTTTAGTTTTAGATATTGTGGAGCAGTAGGTTTGATTTACATGAATGCCTATTTTCTTCATTAGTCACTTCAAGTCTGTGGGCAAAATTAAATGACGAGGAAATGTATGTGCATTGGATAAAATGCATACATGTGCATAAAAACTTGGTACATGCTTTTACATACTTTCTATGGGTAAAATATTACTGAGATCCAATCCTTATTTTTGGAATCTAAAAATATTCCCTTGTTCACACCTGCACACTGAATCTGCTGATCACTGGGTCTCTGTACAACCTTACAGGAAACCTTATAATGATAGTAATACAATATTTTAAAAAAATGTACAGAAATGTTTATAGGTAACAAAAATAATTTGAAATGTATATTTTGTTAAATTAAGCTGTCACCCACTCCTCACCCCAGGAAACTTCATTGGGCTATAACTTACATTTTTTAATACATACATTTACAATACAAACAAAAGTAATGGTCACTGCAAATATCTACGCCAAGGTGCACTACTAGTGGTCTTCAGAAAGTGGTCACGAAAAACAAAACAAATTCTTAAGGTCAACCTTTTTTCCTCCTGTGAGCCCTTCATGGCCATAAAGAACACCCCCTAATTGGCTAATGCATGGATATTATCTTTTAAATACCAAATTCCCTTCCTGTTAAAACTGAAGTCCAACACATCCAACAAAGTTACTGATCTTTAACGTTTACCGAACATTTAGGAGAGAAAAGTATTTTGAGTTGGGATCTACTTCAAACCAAATGGCGTTCTCGCTAAAGCATAATTTCACAGCCAAAAAAGAAATACATTTCAGTGAGGCTAGATCTGCAAAATTGCATCATTGCCACAAATGTATATTCACTGAAAGATTTAACCATCCCAATCATGAAGCCAAAAAAACTGGATTGTTGTGTCACTGAATCGATATTTCCATTAAAAGCTTGGCCTCACTTGGCAAACCAGCCCAAGAAAAATCAATCAAAAATTCATGCTCAGCCTGAGAGACTTGCAACTTCTTAAAACAAATATGGCTCGTCGTGGTTATACACAGGCTCCATCTGTTTTCTCTTGTGCAGACTTTCTCGTCCTCATGAATTAATGGCTCCATCACGTGAAGTATTGCTGTTTATTTACATCGGCAGCGATGTGTTAAATGTTTAACATCTAACTTTAGCTTTCGGCTCCTTCTGCGTGTTGGATCTAGACTCTGTAAACACTTCATCCTACATACTATGCAAATATGTCATACTCTCCATGAAAATCAGACCGACAGAGAAAACTCTCACATATCACCCAACGATGAGACTGGAATTTAAAAATGATTTTTAATTATTATACCACCAAGTGGCTGTGTATATACAACACATTAAATATTAAATATGTTCATCAAACTCTTTGCTTTGCATAGATCAACTCAATACCAAAACTTTTGTTGAATAATGTGATGAGCAGTCTCCGTGAAGTAGCTCAGCGTCACCCACAGCCTGGGAGCCAACTGACGTCTGATGCGCTAAGGCATAAAACACTGTCCCAGGTATAATTTAAATCTCATCAATAACACAAAGCCATGCAGGCGCATCGCCTAAAAGCCAATAACTGATGCCAGCACACCACAGATGTGTGCACTGAATGAATGAATAGCCACGGATGCTGTGACTGAGTTTCTCCTTGTTTCTGGTCCGGGCGCTGGAAGCAACGAGGAGCAGCTCTAATGGATGGACTCTTCACAGTAGAATGGAGATGGAGGAGCTGGGAGAGGTTAGTGCGTTTCGGTTGTCTAATAGAGAGAACAAAGCCGTAGAGATGGAAAATGTTTGCCACCTTTATAAGGAGGGATTGGATGTGTCTTTTACAGTAATGATAAATGCTGCTCTTAAGTGTTAGGGACCGTGGGCTGAAGGAGAAGAGATGAAAATTGGTATGGAGTGGAGGTGTGGCAACCAGATTAAATGAAATAATCAATCAACATCCCCTTCCTCCTCTGGTCAGTGTACTGCAGTATGAACAGATGAGAGAGCTGGTTCCTTTTCAAGGGTTTTTTTTCATACATCAGCAGACTTTGTCAGTAGAACAGACCAGGTGATTTAAACTCCCTGTCAGTATTTTTAATGGAATAAAATGAACAGAAAATGTCTTGGCGACTTGAGCAATTAACAAATTAAAATGAATAAGCAATGTTATTTTTAATGAAGGATTGTAACATTATTAATTTACCATTAACAAGCTTTGTTGTACATCAGTCTTTGACCTGAGCGTGCAGACCAAAAATTTGTATTTTATATATTTCTATTCCAGAAAATACCATATTCAAGATTACATGTGATAATTGGCTCCTTAAAAACTGTTTTAAACATTATGTCTTATAAGAGGTTTTCATGCACTATAAAAATCCCACTGTATTCAGTGCCTTTGTTTTGCTTCCTGTCAAATATCTAGAAACATCTAAAAATTGGACCGCAACACTAGTAGAGTAGGTTTCAGGCGATGCACCTCTGGATAATCTCACAAACAAACAACTTTAGGGCACGTCTAAAATGCAAAATTAGCAATCCAATGCACCTCTAATAATAATAATAATCTCAGAAGAATCTAACAAACAACTTTAGGGCACGTCTAAAAAGGGTCCTTGGTAAACTCTGGATGTGGAAGGAAAAGTCAACTGGGAGCAACTGCAACTACTGCAAAGAAAAAAAAACATGGAGGAAGGAGCCTTCTTACTTCCTATTTGGACATGTGTATAAGTGGAAAAAGTTAACCTTTGAGTTAAGGTTTTTAGTTTCAGGTTTTGCAATAAAACAGTATATATGTTTTTTGTTAACTATCTGGACAAAGTGATTGACAGTGTTAAAAAATTCCATTGAAGGCTTGCTTTTCATTTAATTAATAGTGTATATTTATTTAGTGGTGTATGCACTGCATGTTATAGCACATACATTTTGTTTTTGTTGTTGGCCTGTGAAAAAAAGGATTTACATATTCTTACATTTTCTTTACAGTTTCTCATCAGTTTATAATATTAACCCTTGGTTGATCTGGATTCAATGTTGACGTAAAACTAAATTTTGTTTCCATATGAAATTCTACATTACAAATCTGGAGAGAAAGGAAAACATACACAATTTCTAACAATGTTTTAATAAATATTAAGGTGGGCCCATGACTTCGTCCCAATTTTTAATTTTTTGCCCACTGTGATTTTGAATTTGACACCCCGGCTTCAACTTTCTTGGCGTATATTGATTTACTCTTTCTTGAGTTTTTCTATTCATCCATCATGCATGCAGGAAACAAAAGTAGACAATGGATTGTGTATTTAAACTGCATTTAAATTAATGCATTTTGCTACCGCTGTGCATACTGATAGCATTGACTTCTATAAAGCAAAAGATTTTTTACACTCTTGTTAATATGCAAATCACATGCAAGGACAACACACTCATTGCTACATACAGTATTTATGTTCTGTTGTGCTGGCTCTAGCATGTAAACATTTAATGAATAATGGCAAATATTAATGCTGTTAAAAAAACAAACAAAAAAAAACAAGGACATTTTCCCTCCTGTAAAAAACACATTTGTTGGTTAGGGTTGATATTTAAATCACAGACTAACATATAATCTCTTTTGAAATATTCTCTCCCCTCACTCCTCTACACACTCATACTTCCTGTGAGAACATTTTCTTCAGAGAACACTTCAAATACATGCAGTGTTAAAGTGCTGTTAAAAAGCACATTTACATACCCCAAAGCAACACAGCCCACTACAAGATTATGGGGGCAGTTAATTTACATTTTTTTATTGATTTTTTCTATTTTAACGACTTTACTGAGCCTCTCACAACCAACTTCACATCTTGTTTTGGGCAAAATGCAGTTAAAGTCAAATTTGACCATGAGTGATTAAAAGGCTGTCTGTGCATGTGTGTGTCTTAATAACTGGGTTTGAAACCAGATACTTAAAGTGCGGACTGAAGTCTTATTATCCATCCGCAATTTGTTCAACACAGATAATGACCAGCAAAATAATCTGCATAACATTAGAGTACAT